ACAGGTGTGCACCACCATGCCTGGCTAATTTTTGTATTTTTAGTAGAGACGGGGTTTCACCATGTTGGCCAGGCTGGTCTCTAACTCCTGACCTCAAGTGATCTGCCTGCCTCAGCCTCCCATAGTGCTAGGGAAGAGTAGACTTTCTATTGAGGGGATATATAGCTTTTTTTTGGGGGGAAAGTATTAATAGTTCTTAGTTATTTTTAAAAAGTCATACATGCCTGTGGGAATCTGAGGAAAGCTATGGCTCCTTTCTCCATGAAAATTAATATACGGATGCACGCAATTGCAGGTGGTCCACAAAGTCGGCAGGGTGAGAGTGCCTGCTCTGGGTTAATTTGTGGGGATTGTTCCTTGGGCATACATTTGGCTGAGTGGGCACCAAGGTGGATATGGACTGGCAGGCGGTAACTCTGCAATAAGATTAGGTTGTCTCCTTAAGGAAGCCTGAGGCAAGAGGCCCAGCTGGCTGCACCTGTCAAGTCAGGTGGTGGCAGCATACAGTATTAGGAGCAACCTTCACTCAGGCACCGTGAATAAGGGCAGAGGGGTAGGCAGGAACAGTAAGCCCTTTGATGCATTGCTGAGTTACCTCTGTGGGAATTTGGGGAAGGAAAGGAAGGAGCCAAAGGTAATTTACTGTGATTGGTCACCTGAGTAAACCTGGCATTTACTACCTTGGTCACCCATCCATATATATTTTTGGAGTGAACAGACCAGTGCCTGAATACAGGGGATGAAAGGCTATGGAATGGGGGAGGGTGAGAGGGCAACACTTTCTTCTGCTCTTGACAGACAGGTAGGATTAGAACATCTCTGCATCCTTCACATCCTAAGGTGTCTTAGCCTTGGTAGAGTGAAATTCAATTCAGAGACAGGTGATCAGAGTAGCCATCAAATCACAAGAGGTCCATATAACAGTCTGCCAAGACTTTGGGATGTTAAATACATGTTTTTCTTTAATTAAATAAGACAGGATTGTGTTGCTTTTATCTTATCAAATTGCAAGTTGATTCAAAAGTAGAAAAAGTAATGAATCATTTGTATAAAATGATCAAGATTAGACAACTAGTTGCCTCTCTGTGGATTAATTCATAGGTCACGTAAAAAAAAAAAAAAAATCCAGCTGGGCGAAGTTGCTCATGCCTGTAATCCTAGCATTTTGGGAGGCTGAGGCGGGTGGATCACCGGAGGTCAGGAGTTCAAGACCAGCCTGGCCAACATGGTGAAACCTGTCTCTACTAAAAATACAAAAATTAGCCAGGTGTGGCAGTGGCCACCTGTAATCTCAGCTACTCAGGAGGCTGAGCCAGGAGAATCGCTTGAACTGGGAGGCAGAGGTTGTAGTGAGCCAAGATCGCACCACTGCACTC